TTAAAATTTAACTAACAGTATACTAAGACTGCATTCTGGTTGCGCGTCCCTCAGGTCGTTCGCTGGGTGGGTAAGTCGTTGCGACGAAGGCGTGATTGGTTGCTCAACCTTGTTAGACCTCTCGCCAGGTGGTTAGGGTGCACCGATAGCTTGCTTAAGTACTTTGCCTTCTGTTCAGCGATCACTTCTTTGACTGGTAGGATGTTTAAGTCGCGGTGTATGTTTTCGTTGCGAACGTACCACGGTGCCCCGGTGATAGTTCTCAAGATCTTCGACTGAGCTCTTTGAATTATGTCAATGTTGCTATTGCTGGCGTTCCCCCATAACTGGGAGCCGTACATCCATATAGGTTTTAGGACCGAGTTGTACAGCAGGACTTTATATTCAAGGCTAAGAGATGACCGAGCGTTGATAAGCCAATGAAGGCTGCTGGCTTTTAGCTTTAGGTGTGTTCTTTTGGCTTCAATGTGCCGGCGCCATGTGAGTCTTCTGTCGAGATGTACTCCTAGGTATGTTACTTCGTTTGCTTGTGGGAGTAGGGTGTTGTTTAATGTAATCGGCGGGCAGTTTTGCCTGTTCAGAGTGAACGTAACGTGCTTGCATTTTAGTTCGTTCACTTTAATTCGCCAATCTGACAGCCATTTTTCAACATCGACCAAATGAAGAGCTAGCTGCGCAGTTGCTTGAATCGGGCATTTTGAGCGGCTAAGAATAGCTGTGTCATCGGCAAACGTGGATGTTGTTAGACGTGTGCTTGTCGGGATGTCTGCTGTGTACAGGACATATAAAATTGGTCCTAGCACGCTACCTTGAGGAACTCCAGCTCCAACAGTGTAATCGTCAGATATAGCAGTGTTGCACCTCACGACAAATTTTCTGTCGAAAAGGTAAGACTCTAAAATCTTGTGGGTGCTGTAGGGAAGCATTGTCTTGATCTTGTACATTAGACCTTCTAGCCAGACTCTATCAAATGCTTGAGAGACATCTAAAAATATGGCAGTACAGTACTCCCGTTTTTCAAACGCGTTCCGAATTTCGGATGTTATCCGGTTGACCTGCTCAATTGTTCCATGCTTTTCACGAAACCCAAATTGGTGTGACGGGATTCCTTCCTGGATTCTCAGGTATGTGTTTATCCGAGTCATTAGGCATTTTTCAAAGAGTTTGGATAGGCAAGAGAGTAGGCTTATAGGTCTATACGACGTGGGGATAGTGTGGTCTTTCCCCGGCTTTGCTATCATTATTATAATTGACTTTTTCCATCTCACTGGAAAGTGGCCAAGTTTTGCGATGGCATTAAATAGCTGGGTGAGAGTGCAAACAGCGCAGTATGGGAGCTCAATGATCATTTTGGGAGTTATGAGGTCGCAGCCCGGGGATTTTTTCGGATTCAGTTGTCTTTTGATGATGTTAACGATTTCGTTTGGGCGAAACTCGATTGGCTCATGTTGAGGCTGGGGTTCATATGATAGAGTCGGCAAAGTAAACGCATTGGTGGCAGGATTTGGTTGGAAGACATTTTTAAGGTGTTTGGCAAACGTGCTGGCTCTGTCTGCGTCGCTGCGCGCCCACCCGCCTGTGGAATTTCTAATTGGCATCACGGTTTCTTTCGGTGAGCTCATAGTTGGGTGAGCTCTCCATAGTGAATGTTTTGTACTGTTAGTTGACAATTGCTCTATGTAGCGGCGGTGGACATACGTTTCTTCTTGCTGTAGAGCTTGATTAAGTTGACGTGAGGCTTGTTTTAAGCGTTGCTTAGCAGATGGCGATCTGTGACATTGCCATTCTCGGCGTAAGCGTCGCTTTTCGAGGACGAGCTGTTCGATTTGTAGATTTGTCTTCTTTTGAATGTATTGTGTGTTTGTAGTTTGAGGTGTTGAAACTCGAGCTGCAGAGACGAGTACAGACTCCAGTGAATTAACAAAACTGTCTACGTTGGCTTCGTCGCTGAGGTGAGGACTCAGCTCAATGTGTGAGCTGATATACTTCCTGTACTTAACCCAATTGGTTTTATGTGAGGTCAGTTTTGATGAGTGATCCCATGTTCCTGGGTGTCGGAGTAGAGTAAAGAGGACAGGCGAGTGGTCAGATGAAAGATCCGAAAGGCATTCGGCGCTTATCATATTTTTAGGAATATTTTTGGTAATCGCAAAGTCTATTAAATCGGGAAATTTCTTTGGGTCTGCCGGCCAGTATGTTGGAGTGCCAGAAGAAACATAGTCTAGCTTGTTCTTAGCTTTGATAATTGCATTATAGAGCTGCTTTCCTTTTGGGGTCACGAGACGAGATCCCCAGTGTGTGTGCTTGGCATTGTAGTCTCCTGCTGCTATAAAGTGGTCTCCGAGTGAGTTGAAAAACTGCATAAACTCATCTTCGGCTATGGAGAAGCGTGGGGGGCAGTATACGGCGGCTAGAGTTAGTTGCTTGCCAGTATTTAGGTGTATATTTATTGATGTGGCCTGTATGTAGTTTTTAGAAAATTTCGTATGGTAATGGTGCTTAATACGGCTTCTGATTAAAATTCCAGTCCCGCCGTGTGCTTTACCATCTGGATGATTTGTTCCATAGAATGTATATCCTCGTAGTTGGAAATTGTATTTGTTTGTAAGATGTGTTTCTGAGAGCAGCATTACGTCGATTTGATTGTCTAGAAGGAATTGCGCTAACTCGAGTTTGTGCTGCGAAACGCCGTTAGCGTTCCACGTAGATATTCGTAGGGAAGTCATTATTTGGATTGTTGTGAGACCAGCATTTGTATAAGTAGATTTTGGTTTCGCATTAGATCTTGCATGGTTGTACGCATAAACGACATAAACTCCGTAAGGCTTTGTTGTAGACTGCATATCAAAGATTCAAAGTTACTTTTTGGCTGCTCCGGCGGTTGATGCTGCTGAGCCGTGTTCGGTTCTTGGTGTGCTGATTGCGGCAGTGAGATTTTTGGGGCTGGGGTAGCCAGTCCTGATTTTAAAGCGCTTGCGTATGTGACATTTTTGGCAGAGTTTATGGGTCCTAGTGAGGATCTGGCTGCAGTCGAGAAGAAGACTTCAGGGTTTGACCTGGAGGCTATGAACTGATTATTTTGGGTGCGGGCAGTAGATCCCCTCTGGTGGATGCGGCTTTTCAGCTCCTTATAAACTGGGCAACCTCTGTAGTTAGCAGTGTGGTTTCCACCGCAGTTGCCGCACTTTTTCGAGTTCTGGTCATCTTTGCTCGCTGGGCAGTGTGCGGAGTCATGGAGCTCACCACAAACTACACACACCGGGCGCAGTTTACAGTAAGACCTTGTATGGCCATATTCTTGGCAGTTCGCACATTGTACCGGGCCATTGCGTTTGTGCGGCTCCTCAACTGTAATTCTGCGGTGCAGCAGGAACTGAAGATTGTATATAGGGTGCACTTCGTATTTCTTTAGGGGCTTAATTTGTGGCTCGAGCTCAACCTTAAAGAGTGGCTGTGGCTTTCTATCCCTGTTAAGGATATTGAAGACTGTCTTGGCGCTAAATCCCTTCTCTTGTAGCGCCTTTGTTATCTCTGCAGGCGATACTTCGGGCTCTATGCCCTTAAGTACGACTTGCAGGCCCTTGCTGCTTTTTAGCTGATACGTGTAAAAGTTCTTTTTTTTGTCGGTGAGGTATTTCGATAATACTCTGTAATTATCTTCAGACTTCGTTTGAACTTTTGTTTCCTGTATATTGCCCTTTACGAGTGGTATTATGTGGAAGTTGTCCTTGCCAATAAGCTCTATAATTTTGTTGACCAGAACGTTGGAACTTTTTTCTCGTATGTAGATTGGCGGGGGCTTAGGCTTCCTTTTTTCGACTTCTGTAGATTCGGCGTCATCCTCATAGTCTGCCAAGATTTTAAATCGGTTTGAGTTCGTGGGCGTTTCTATTGCAGCTATATTAGCATTGCCACGGGTTATTTTCCGTTGAGAGTTAAGGGGGCTCAGCTTCCTTTTGATTTGAATGTACCGATCCATACCAGTCTGCACAGCCGGCTTAATATTTTCCTTGTTATTGTTCTCTTTTTCGGGCAGCGCAGCGGCAGAAGTATTAATGTCTGCGCTGCTAACTGATGACGTCGTTAAACGCGCTGTCGTTACAGTTGCGGTTGTTGTTGTTGTTACGGTTGACGTTGTCAAAGAAATTGCGGTGCTAGTTACTGCGCTCTTTGGCTGCAGAGACATCGATGGTAGCGATGGGGAGCAAGATCGCGCTCTTTCGCTCTCTACGTTTAAGAATTCGGTCAAGTTTGGGGTAATTGACCGTGTTTGTGTTGAGCTTGCATTACTTTCGGTTGCTTTGAAAGTAAAGTAAGCGTTGTTTCTTTGTACTGAGAGCCGTCTCTCGTCTTGCTCACGTTGACGTTGTGTGCGAACGTCGTTTAGACTCATTTTAAGTGTTGTGTTTTATATTAATTAATTAATTAATCAATATAAACATTAGCGATTTCATCGCTAAAAGCGTCTTTTCGCGTTGTTGTTGATTTTCGAAACCAGTCACTGCACTTTTTGATATTATTGAGTACTTTTTTCCCGGAGCACAATAAATATACGTCTGCATGCGACGACGATTCGATTGCGAGACTTTTTGAAGAAGTTTTTATTATATATTTTTTTTCGACACGACCAGAAGATTGTGTAGTGCACAAGCATAGAGCTCAGAAAAACGCAATACAATTTTTATGTCACAAGTATGTGGATAAAATATTTTGACTCTATTCATAAACGCACCGACTTGTGTGTTTTTAAAATCCGCTCTTTTTTAAGGTCGATATCTTGAAAACTATTTAACGTAGACTATTGGTCAAAAATATATCGGGGATGCTTTCTTCACAATGTTGCAAGCTTTAGACCTATATCCTCTGAAGGGTGTACAAATATTGCTTTTTAGAAGTTTAGTCGATTTAAAGACTGAAGTTATATTTGCTTTGATTTTATAAAGCTAGTTACCTTTCTTGTGTTATTTTTAATTTTACTAATGTGTTGTTTTTTATTCCAGAACAACTGGACCGCATTGAAGAAGGAATGGATCAAATCAATGCTGATATGAGAGAAGCCGAAAAAAATTTAAGTGGAATGGAAAAATGTTGCGGAATTTGCGTCCTTCCATGCAATAAGTTTGTATAGCTATTCTTAAATCTCTAGGATTTAATGGGTGTATTGTATTTGTTGAAAAGTGATAAACAGTTAAAAGGTAGTTCATGCGATCTAATGAGCTGTACGAGGTGTGTTCAAAAAGTATCACGAATTTTGTGTTTTTTCAAAAATTATTTATTTATTCATGAATATCTATTTTGTCCCCTTCAAAGTAATCTCCATGAGATATTTTGCACTTGTGCCAACGGTTTTGCCAATCTTCGAAGCACTTCAACAAATCATTTATTTTATCTTGTTCAGCTCCTCCTTCGATGCCGTCTTTATCTTGTCAACCGTAGCATAACGTCGTCCTTTCATGGGCCTCTTCAGTTTAGAAAGAAGAAAAAGTAACAGGGGGCCAGATATGGGGAATACGGTGGCTGCGGCATCATTAGTGTGTTGTTTTTGGCCAAAAAGACGCACACAAGCAACGATGTGTGAGCAGGGGCGTTATCGTGGTGCAAAAGGCAATTATTGTGCTTCCACAAATCCGGGCGTTTCTGGCGGATTGCTTCGCCCAAATTGCGCATAACTTGCAGGTAATATTCCTTATTGACCGTTCTTCCCTGTGGCAAGGAATCATGATGCACCACCCCCTGCAATCGAAGAAAACTGTCAGCAAAATTTTCACATTGAAGTGCTCGGTCGTCCGGCACGCACTTCGTCGTTCACATCTTCTCGGCCTTCTGAGAACACTTTGTACCACCGATAAACAGTCAACATTCGGAATGCATCCACGCACTTAATTTCGTTTTTCACACAAAATTTGATACAGGTTCTTTGATCCATTGTTTTGAATAGGTAAAAATCGAAGACGATCCGAAATACGTGCAAGCAAAGCAGCTGTCAACAATTAAGTGAACATTCAAAATGGCCGAGCTTGTCGGCATAAGTGAGAGACATGAGTACCAACATATCGCCACAAAAACGACGAATTTCGATGAGAGGTAACCCGCGAAAATTCAAAATTCGCGATAATTTTTGAACACACCTCGTACATATAGTATAGCGTGTAACAGCTTCCCAAAATGGTACTATCATCAAGTCCCGTGTGTCATCAAGGGGTGTGTCCCGTGTGTCGAAATTATGATATTTTCATATTTTGTTATTAAAGAGTTTCCCATAATTTATTCGTGTTCTGTATAATACTATTAAAAGTACTATTACAGTGAATACAGACTTAAGCAAACAATAAAACAAGAAAAGAAACTAATTTTGTCAAGCCGAAGCTTATATACCCTTGCACACATCAAATATATCAAACGAAATAGATATAGGCTAAACAACATCGAATCTATGACGATTTTCTGTTAATTTTACATATTTTCGACGATTTTTTATATGGCAGCTATATGATAAAGTCGTCTGATTTTTAATTAGTAATTTAGGAGTCATTAAAAAGTCTAAGTTCCAAAAATCATGATTGTCTGATGAAAAACAACGATGTTATCATTTTATTTTCGTTAATCTATATATACAAAAATGGAGACAAAAAATGTGCGCAATCGCATCACATGAAAACGGCTTGACCGATTTGGCTGAAAATTGGTAGGGAGATAGCTTAGAACCAGAAGAAGGTTTTAGCATAAGAAAATTTTGGGAAAACCTTCTGGAAAAGTCGCTAGCGGCTCAAAAGATGTACACAATGTTGTATGTAAAAAAAAGATCATAGCTGCGTTGATTTTGTGTATCGATGAAGTCGGTAAAAAATATTTAAACAAAAAATAGAGCGAGCTTAAACAATTTGAAATAATGCCTGCTGTTAGACGAATAGGACTTGGACGGCGTTCGCGTAATGCAATAAATAGTCAGAATTTCCGTAATAGTCGGACGCAAGAGGAACGTGCAGAAATAAATGCATCGACACGTGCCCGAATGGCACAGCTTCGCGCTGCACAAACCCCACCTCAAGCCCGACAAAATAATAGAGGAAGACGAACCGCAAATGAAAACTTGAATCGCGCTGCATTCGCATACAATCCGGAAACACCCTAAAAAGATCATAGCTGTGTTGTTATTTCATTGTCTGTCGTATGTCAGCATTGCAATGCACTGAAGTTTCGATTGGAAACCCCCGGCTTATGCTGTGCAGGTGGCAAAATTAAATTGCCCGTTTTGGCTCATCCACCAGAGCCATTATATTCGCTACTATATGGAAATTCAGCCCAATCAAACAGTTTCCTAAAGCTTGCACAATAATATAACGGATGCTTTCAAATGACGTCATTTGGAGCCGAGGTTGTTCATCAACCAAGCTACAATCCAAGTTATAAGGTAATGGCGTCTCTCTTTTATCAATATGAACAACTCCAATTTTTTTAAAATTGCATCCCAACATTCAGATTCAAGGACAAATTCACCACCGAGCGGGCGCTTTGTTACCACCACATAACAAAGATCATAAATTCCTTCAGATCTATTTCATTGGTAATTCGGCAATTGAACTAAATCAACGCTGTGCAATTTTTACTGCAACTAAACGTGAAATTATCGAACAATTGCAAAATCTTCTCCATGAGCATAATGAATTGGTCAGATTGTTCAAAACCGGATTGGAAAAATCATTATCAGCGCTGACAAAAGACCCACAGGTAGCCATGCAAGACAATTTAATGCTCCCACTATCAATGAAGTCGCAGTGGTGATTGTTGGCGAGAATGTGGAATCACGCGATATTGTTCTTAAGCGTCGGGATGATGGCCAATTGCAGCGAGTTTATGAGACTCATCGGTCATATGATGCTCTTCAAGACCCGTTGATGTTCTGTCGTGGAGAAGATGGTTATCACTTCAACATAAAGATGGCTAATCCAATGACAGGTTTGTTTACAAGTTATCACTTCTTTTTGATTCTATAACTAGGTTTGAATTAAAACTTTAGGAGAAGAAACGAATAAGAAGGTCAGCTCTATGAATTTTTATGCGTATCGATTGATGATTCGACTAGATGTTGACAATCATCTGTTAAGATACCGCCGTTTGTTTCAACAGTACTGTGTCGACATGTACGTCAAAGTAGAAACGGAACGTCTCAATTTTATTCGTTTTAATCAGTCGAAGTTGCGCTCGGACGAGTACATCCACTTGCGTGACGCCATCGCTACTGAAGGACACGCGGCCAACATCGGTTGTTTGACCATTCTCCCAGCTACTTATGTTGGAAGCCCGCGCCATATGCATGAGTATGCTCAAGATGCGATGACGTATGTCCGGAATTACGGGCGCCCGGATTTATTCATCACGTTCACGTGCAATCCGAAATGGCCCGAAATTACCAATCTGTTGCTTCCAGGACAAGCATCCAGCGATCGCAGTACTTATGGATTACATTGTGAAGCAGAAGGTTTTCGGCGCAGTTCGTTGTTGGATGTACTCGGTTGAGTGGCAGAAGTGTGGTTTACCACATGCGCACATTCTGCTCTGGATGTTCGACAAGATCAGACCAGATCATATTGATTCGATTATTTCAGCTGAAATACCAGATAAACAAACTGATCCCGAGCTGTATTCCATTGTGACAACGAGCATGATCCATGGCCCTTGCGGTGTCCACAACCCAGAATCAGTATGCATGGAAAACGGAAACTGCACAAAACGATTTCCCCATCCGTTTACGGCTGAAACAATCAGTGGAAACGATGGATATCCATTGTATAGGCGTCGTTCTCCAGATGATAACGGCAAATGGATCGAACTAATGGTGAAACGTAACGAAACAAACGTAACAGTAATCGTGGATAACCGCTGGATCGTTCCATATTGCCCGCTTTTATCGAAAACGTTCTCAACGCATTGCAATGTTGAGTATTGCAACTCTATCAAATCCATCAAATACGTTTGCAAAATATGTGAACAAAGGGAGCGTTCGGCATTGCTGATCCGAATGCAAACGACGAGGTGACGAAATTTCAACTTGGACGCTACGTTAGTTGTAACGAGGCCATTTGGCGGATATTCTCATTTCCGATTCATGAACGTCACCCGACTGTCGTGCACTTATCTGTTCACTTGGAGAACGGCCAGAGTGTCTACTTTACGGACGTGAACGCAGCGCAAAGAGCAGAACGGCCACCAGCGACAACGTTGACAAATTTCTTTTCGACATGCGAAAGCGATCCGTTCGCAAGGACTTTACTCTATTCTGAGATGCCACGCTATTATACATGGAACGCTGCATCGAAGAAGTTTCAACGCCGGAAGAGAGGTGATACTGTTGCTGGCTTAGCTGATGTCTATTCGACAGATGCGCTCGGACGAATATACACAGTTCATCCACGTCAAGATGAATGCTTCTATCTTCGCTTGCTTTTGGTGAACATTAGAGGCCCTACATCCTTCGAGTCGCTGCGTACTGTGGATGGTGTGCTGTGCGCCACTTTTCGGGAGGCTTGCCAACGTTTGAACTTGCTCGAAAACGACGCTCATTGGGACTCAACGCTCGCCGATGCCACGGCTTCTGCGTCAATGAATCAAATCCACACATTATTCGCAATTATCATAGCTATGTGTTATCCGTCGAACCCGACCGCATTGTGGGACAAATACAAGGACCAAATGGTGGACGATATTTTGAACAGAGTACGCAGGACAAGTTCTAATTTCAATCTTGGCATTAACGAAGATATGTACAACGAAGCATTAGTACGGATCGAAGATATGTGCAAATTAAATTTGATGTTATTGGTGAATTTAAAAAAATATATTTTATTTTTTATTTATATATTTATTTTGGTGATAAACTTTTAAACTTCTAAATACAATTTTTCACAAGACACTTTATCAGATATAACTGAACGCGATGCCGATCTGAACAGAACTGCCTTCTTAACTTTTTGATCGGCTCCAATAAACCTCGGCCAGGAGCTTTTCTTCTTTTTGTTTTTCGAACTTCAATTTTTGTTTAGAATAAAAGCTTAAGATGAAACTGTCGCATCTTATTATACCCTTGCAGAGCAAAAGGGTATTATAATTTCAGTCAGAAG